GTAGAAAGAAAATTAAGAAGATAAATAATAGAAAAAAATATATATTTTAAAAATCATTATCAGATGAAAGACTTTTAAATGGAGGAAAGGAAAAAGACATAGCAGTTGAGCATTTTCTTTGCACACAGGGTGCCTTAGGATGCAGCGTGAAGATGATGCCTTCCTCACCTGGTCTCCTTCCTTCAGCTCTGTCAGCATAACGATCACTTTGACTTTTCTTTGGAAGACCATTTGCCAGAACTCAGCAATTGTTTCCTGCATTGGTCCCTGAGTTGCGATCATGGCTTTTGGACCCCAGTAGCCCTAGGAAAGGAATTTAGAACATCTTTTCCTTAAATTCATTCAAAATGCTATCTTCATGCAATGGAAGTCCTTGACATTTAAAGACTTTCCAGTAAAATAAACTAACGGTCCCTTTTGCCTATAGAGGAAAATCTGCCTATCCCAGGAGGCAATGATCGTAGAGGAACGATAATAGCCAAGCAATTTGAAACTGAATATAAAAATGTGACTCTAGAATGACAACAAGACATACCCTTGCTGCAGTGGGTGACAGCTCAGCCTGCCATTATGCACAGATCATAATGAACGTGACCATAATTCTGCGCAACTCTTAATAGTCTTCTAACAAATTAAATCCATCCCATACAACAGAACTGATGAGCAAGTCAGCTCACACTGAATTATCCAAAAGTAAAAATACTCTGAACAGGCATCTGAACTGTACAGAGAATCCAGGTAACTATAATTTATCTGATAATTTCGTAAGCAATTGTCTTCATTGGTGACTAGTAGCTCTACTTCTTCCAGAAGTAAATGTTATCCCAAAATACTCCTGGCCTCAGTTTTTTCTGGTACAGTTCTGTAAATGCAAACAACTATACTTATGTTTTACTTGCAGTTGAAAATATTAATATGAATCAATTTGTGCATAGACAAATGCCCTTTCTTGGAAAAGTAGGCTGCTCCTAGGTGAGCTGAAATTTTGTGATTTTAAACATTAAAAAAAAAGGAAAAAAAAAAACCAACCACGTTTCTGTTTTCTTTTTTTATCACGTTGTTTGTTATGACTTTTTGGTGATAGTATGGTCTAGGATTATGTAAGGGTAAAAGCTCCATCTTACTGCTGCACCAAAACTGAAAAGATTTCAATGATTTAAACTATAAAGGGTTTTGCCAATCAAATGTCAGATCGTCCTTTCCTGTCCAGGTTAATGCAATTCTACTGGTGAAGCCAACAAGAGAATAAAGGTACAAGTTAGCATATGCTCATCAGCAAGTTTTGGCTGCAAGCTTGTGAGATGCTCATAATTCATCCTCTAAATACATACAGTTATGAAGGAAGCATTGATGTATCTGCTTGATTCCTCACAGTCGCTGTCCCCGTCTGAGGAATCATCTGAATCATGTTCAGTCTCCTTACTTTGCTCTTCTTCATTCCTGATCGGCACTCGGTTAAAGTCATCTGCATAAGACAGTGTCACCACGATGCTGCTCAGCTATAGCATGTAATGTCCTCCTTGTGTCATTATCCTCCTGCTTTCTCTAGGGAACCCCGAGTGCTGTTTTTATTCACTGGGTGACTATGAACACACACACAATGGTCTGGGTTTCCTTGGGGTTTAGTCACTTTGCACTGGGAGCAGAGGAAAGACAAGCTCATCCGCTCACCCCAGAATGTATCCGTTTCTGAACTGGGGTCATGCTACCAGATATGCATTCATTTTTTACTCTCCTAGCAAGAGAGGGAAGTGGGGGAACTGAGGGATGATTCTGGAAAACTCTTGCAACACAAGCCAGTATCCTTGCTGGGAGAAGGCCCAAGGTGCAAGGAGAAAGGATCTCACAGGAGAGGGCTGAGGCCTTCTCCACAATAGGTAATGTCAAAAGCCAACCTGGGCAAAGTTTGGATTTGAGAAACACTCTTCCAGAATAGAATTAATAGAATTAAACACTCCTAAAACTCCGTATGTTAAAAAATCTCATTTTCTTTTTTAAAACATTATAAGGCTACAATTTTACAATGTTGACAGATTTAACAAATCAGAAATACATACCAATAATGTAATTTATTGTCTCAATTTATTCAAAATATAATAGGTTTTCCTTAAAGGTAACAGAGAAAATAACAGAAGGGTCATGGAAAATACTCACATGGAATCGTGTTGGCTTTCCTGTTTCTAGTTTTGTTCTCCTCTCGGTTCCCTGTGTTCTGCGTCCGCCACCCCTTATAGGAGGGCAGCCTCTAAAGAAAACAGGACGTTTGGCATTATAAAAATGGCTCATGGTCTCCTCCAGACAGCCAGAACCTACCTTCATCTCCCAGGTCCTCTGTTCTTTTTATTTGTAATTGTATAAACTTTGGTCACATTTGGACTACAGTTCGAAAATGTCCATTATACCATACACCATGCCAGAAGAAATCACGCACACAGACACAGGCAATCATTTGATTCCCCTAAACTTTATGGAAAATGTTAATATCAATTTTTTTTATGCAATTTCATTATTTTTTAAGTCTCTTCATGAAGGTGGAGAAATTATGTCTGTGTGGGAGAACTAAAATAGCACAGAAGTGATCTGTTATGTATGGTATCTCCTTCTCATGACAAAAAAAGTAAGGCAAATTCTAATTTAAGCCAATTAAGAGCAAGAGCACTCCCATATTTACCTGAAATTCTGCCTCCAGCAGAGATGGATCACTTGGGGGATCTTTCCTCTTCAGATTTGTAAGGTAGGGATGCAGTTCTGAGAGACAGACCTCGGTTTCTCCATATTGATTGTACTCCACTAGTGCTTGATGGATGAGGATGTACTGTGACTGGTGTTTCCCATCGGAGAGGTTTAAAAGTGAAGTTAGTAATGAGCAAAAAAAGTCAAATCACTTTTGAAAACTATTATAAGAAGCTCTTAATCACATGATATTATTCATGGTAATAATATTAAACATTAACACTAAAGTGCTATTAAATAGAACTATTAAAAACCCTAATGGCTTCCTGTTCAACTTTTTGAGCAAACCTGGTATGTTGGATGAAAGGTGTTCTGCAAATATACGTAATGTCATTTAGGAAATAGCAATTAAGATCTGAAATACCTTTAAAATGCCTAAATAAGTTACAAGCATACATTTCATCAACTTTCACTGTATTCTCACACAATTTTTACAGTATGAAAATTGTACAGCTTCTAAAGCTGAAAACTTTTTTTGGAAGTTTTGTGCTCTCTCTCTCAACATCTTTTCAGAACTGTATTTTCTCTAAACAGCTTCAGCTGAACTCTGGCATCACCCAAGAGTGACCTCACTTTTCCCCAAGAAATCCTGAAGAAGCACTAGTGCAGTAGAGTTTTAAGTGAGATGAATTTTATCGAGATACCTCTACTTGAACCATGAGGCATCGCTGTCGACGCAGTTTCACCACATAGCCATAAACATCCACTCTGCCTTCGGTGTCGAGGCCCTCCAGCATGGCATCAATTCCGATGTAGGTCCCAGTGCGGCCCACGCCAGCGCTGCGAAGCACAGAGGGAGGAGGTTATTGGGGGGCAGTGGAACTGCTGGCTCCCTCTCCAAGAGGGGAGCAGGGAGTAAAGAGAGTGAAAGCAAAAATAGCTCTTGTTATCAATTGCTCAGCAATATGGGAAATGATGGATTTGTATTTTGAATAACTATATTTTAAAATGTAACATTTTAAAACATGGTGCTTATAGCCAGGGTAGTCTGACATTTACCTGTCTGTTTTCCAAAGATTTTAGTCGATCTCAGTTGAAACCGATCTCAAATAAAACAGGCTTTTTAATGTACCTTTAGCAACCTCACTCTCGAGTAAGCAAGTCACAAAACTTGGGTTTGGACAGGTATTACTGACCTTTATCAGCTCCCTTTTTTAAATTACTCCATTTTCTGTTCATTTAACACTTAGCATAATTTCATTTTCTTCTTAATATTTACCTGCAATGAACCACTATTGGGCCACTAAAAAAGTTGCTGAGAGCATTAACTCTGCGCCGGAGCTTGAGAAGAAGATGCGAATCCTCAGGGACTCCGTGGTCTGGCCAGCTCGTGAACTGAATGTGAGTGACATCTCTTCCAGCTGTCCTTTCCCTTCCCTAGAAAAAATGAGAAGTGCTCTTTTATGCAATACCAAAATAAAGTGTAAATATATAAAGCATTAAAAATAGGGAAAGCAGCTACTAGATGTTGTAACAGAAATTTCAATCAGTATATTGTCATATGGCGCTTCTAAAAGTTGACCTAATTTTAGTTTACCTAATTTTAATTAAAAAATAGCACTCAAGAACTATGTATCAGGGATACACAACTTGAACAGAGGACAAGCAAGAGGTATGGCAGAAAACATTGCTGCAGATGCACTGGAAACATTTACTGTCAAGGCCAGTCTATGACAAAATATAAATCTCCCACTGTAAATAACTTGGCCATAGAGTGCGTAGCTCTGGGTGCTTTGAGGCACACTGCTTGGTAATTCTCTGATCCGTCCTGGGAATAGTCTGCTAAGGCTACCACATTTTTTTTTTTAATTGTAACCTAGAATAGACACACAGGATACAGGAAAGCCTGCGTCACATTCAAAGAGGGTCACTTTTTTAAGTCAGTTGATTAAGGCCTATAGCACGTCTAGTCTGAGGTCCTACTTTCACGTGATGTTGCTAGATTCAAGGAGGGAATATATATTTTTGTAAGTGTGATTATAAAACAGAAGGAGGAAGACATGTCAATGGCTTTTTTGTTCTGCAGATAATGGTTGAAAATAAACCAGCAGTCCATTCAGACTGTTTCCATTCTCTTATTTGTAACAGAACATGCAACAAGGAGATTTACACCAAAGAAAATACAACGGAGAAGAAAAATGCAACCAAGACTAGTTGGCTAGAATTCTGCAGTCAAGAATCAGGGTTGCTGTGGCTGACCATACTCTCTCAGTGTATGCTTATTTTAAAAACATTTCCAATGTAAAGCATAACACAGGCCAAAACCAAGCTGCCTCACTGAAGTCAAATTGTGGAGATGCCACTATAGGTTCTTAACAATCCTTTCAACCACAAGTTTAAGAGAAAACTACATGTTACTTGGGGCAAAACAGTAGAATATCTTTCATTGCTGGCAGATTCCTCTCATGCTGTAAATAATCACTCAATACAAGTGTTAGGACTCTAAATATACATTCCAATTCAAGTTATTCTTGCATTTCTGAGTCAACTTACATTTGTAATATGTAGTTTCTGAATGATATAGTCTGGACACACTTTGCTTTCATTGATCTTCACAATAATGTCCCCATATGTTGCTGAGCCATTCTCCATTGATGGCCAATACTGGGCACATTTGTTCTATGAAAACATGAAATTAGCTGGTGAGCAGCATGACAGCAAAGTGGTGGAGAAGTGAGAGCTAGAAGAAAGTCTGATTTAATATCACTAATAACTCAGTACAGTTTGTGAACTTCCCATAGGTGCTGCATGCTGCCAGCCCTTCAATCTCTAAAAGCAGCCATAACACAAGTTCCACCTCCCCCTTCCCTTCTATACCTGGAATAAGGAACAAAAAGAACATCCAACCTTCTTGTTAAAGGAAAGGCAAGGAGAGCAGTTAAAAAAGAGATCTCAAATTTACTGAAGCATTGCCAGGATATTAGAAGAGACTAGATGGGAAAAACGATGAACCTCTCCTGTTCGGACAAACAAATGTGACAGGTCAGCAGGGAGCTAGAGTTCTAAGATGAGATTTTGCAACACATGTAACCCCTTTCTGGATTTATCAGCAGTAATTTGGAAGCTCCCCCTCTGATCCTTAGAGCTGTGATTTAAGTTACATTGCTGATAAGACTGCTAAGTAAAATATCCATAAGGCAAAACCACTTTGGTGTGCTTTCCAACAAAGGTTTTGCACCACAAACAGAACAGCAAAGAAGGAAATCAAAGTACTTCAGCAGAAAATATAATTCACCCAAGCACAACCACCCACTTCATTTTCAGAGCAATGAAGGATGGATGGATGGGTGGGTGGGGGGGTGGATGGATGGATATTTCTCACCCTGTTTCCTTCTTCACAGCGAGTCACCATGACGATAACTGTTGCCTTCTGTTCCCAGATCATTCTCCAGAAATCATCTGTGGTTTCATCCTTGGGGCCTAGCAAGAGATATTTTAATAGATTTTTTTTCAAAGAGTGCAGTTGGAGAGAAAAGCCCTTTCCTTGCTGACATACAGTCTGAAATGCTAACCAGTCATCATGCAAATAACAGCAACAGACTTGATTTTGTTATGACTGCTGTCATTAATCTACAGTCATATATATGCATTTTAGTCCATAGCTGTGAAACGTAAAAATTGTTGGTGTGAAACAGTCCATCATGGCAAATCTGCCAGTGAAGTATAATTTGTTCATCTTCACAAAAATGCCCAAGCTAAAACACACTGGCAACTTTTTAGTATTGAATTTCAAAAGTCAGTCTTTCGATTTTTCTTTAAATAAAGAGTGGGTGAACAAAGACAGGGAATTCTTTTAAGGTTAAAAATTACCTTGTGCAGCAATATATTTTCTTGGTTCTTTGAAACCCTATAAAAACATACAATGTTACTCAGCTTTTAGAAAGAAAGCATGGACAATATAAAATGATTTGCAACTTTAGAAATGAGTTCAATATGAAAAAGGCAAAAAATACCAAATACATTACAAAGACGGAAATCATCAAAGGTGTTTGGTATGCACAGAGTACAGATTTTTTTCAATAATATCTATAACATTGCATGAATCAAAGTCACTCACATCAATATAACTTGCATTGATATAGTCTGATCCGGGGTCTCCTGGTAGCTCTGAGAGTTCAACACGATTGTGATCATCTGTTCAAATCATTTGAAATAAAATAGTTGTATTGTGAATCAAGACATTAATGTAAGTGAAAACAAATATTAATAGAACGTGAAGAAATTGTGACAAATACTCACATGGGAGAATATCAATGTAACGATTTTTGTTCTGATTATGGCTTTTTTTGGCCTCCTTTATTGGAAACTTAGTGAAAATTCTAGGAATACTCTGTAAAATACAGTGTTTCTTTTATTAGATAAGCACATATTTTCAAAATAGCTTTTACTTACAAAGAAATGCATTTGAAAGTAGTTTGGTACTAATGGCAGTCTGGAAGATAACATTCTTTCTCAGACTGCACTATTTCATATATTTCTTACATGTTGTCTGAAATAAATATGAAATGCTTTCTCCATTATTTATGATTTTTTTATATTCCCATATCTATGTAGCAATACTCTGCAAATGTGCTTCAGATCACATCATTTGTTTTTGCTGAAAGACACCTTTAGAAACAAAGAAAACTCAATAACAAAATTAACTGAAGCCATATTTGACCTTATATGACCTTAGATAAGAATTCACTTCTGATTTTTAGATTTTACAATTATAATTATTCTAATTAGATTTTATAAATATATCTGTGTATTCACACACACAGAGAAATATATACATAGAGTGAACACATATGCCCCTGGCTATAAGTCCAAGCATATTTTGAGCCAATGACAAACCTGAAATTCATCCAAGAAAAGTCTTCCTTCATCCGCAATCTTCCTCTTGTACGTCTCCAACAACTGTTCTGAGGGTATTGGCTCTATGTTCAGAAGTTGCCTTTCATCATCTTTAACTGTATAAAGATGTTGAATGTTTATCTTTACAGGTTTTAAAACATAAATTACATTTCAGTAAATGTGTTCCTCACATTGGCAAATGAGTTAACAAAAGGGCAAGCCTATTTAATTGACCTAAACCAGGTTTATTTTTTCAGAAAATGCTGTCCCCGACCCTTCTCTATGAACAAACAGGCCACGGGAATAGCAGCATCTTCACTATTATGGAATTGGGAACATATCAGGAAGAGGCCACACGCAGGGACCTCGCATCCACAAAGCTGTTACGCAGAGTGGCAACTGTCACATTTGGGTTGCAGCAAACACACCATAGTTACACGATTCTCTCTTTCTTCACAGACCCTGAAACCATGTACAAAAGTTGCATGTAATGCTGTCTGCAGTCTTTTGGTTTTCAAAAAAGTCAACACACAATATTTTAAATTAAAAAAATGAATTCAAAATGTTGCAGTGATAAACCAAGTGTACGTTTGAATTTTTGCTCTGAAGAAGGTTTACAGAAAGGAGAATTTCTGGTTAAAGCCATATAAGATTCTGGAGATACTCTCACGTTAAATGTATTGACCGTTATCTGGGATAACAGAATTATTTTCATGATAAGATAATATATAAGAGTTCTCCAAATATTCCTATAAAATTTCAGTTCATTCTTATATAAATACCTATGGAATGTATTTACTGGTGTACTTTTCTCTCCAAATGAGGTTCACATTGATATCTGCAATGTACCTTACTTAGAATGTAAAGCATCCAAAAGTGGCAACAGGACATGTGACTAATACCTTATTTTCATTTGCTGGATATATAGATTAAAGATACTCACCTCTGACAAGACTCACATCTTCCGAAGAATTGCTGTAAGAAGCAAAAGCATCTGTAAAAGCTTTGACTACTAAGAAATGTATATGACAATGAGTTAAATGGACACAGGTTCATACATGACCACCAAGGTGGTTCAGTAGTCATGAGGGCACACTGCAAGCCCCTGGCACATGGGATTGCTGCAATTAGGACTTGGAGGCAGCTGGGAGACGTGGTTGGGATCCCTGTCTTCTCACAGGAGCCGGGGAAGCCTTGGCACAAGCGAGGGAGAGAAATGAGGGGCCCTCATAAAACTGCTTTACTAGCTGCATGATTTTCTCCCTACCACAGGTCTTCAATTTCTTGCTAAAGATTCGGGTGTCACACATATAATTTTCACTATTTTAATTAAAACATTAAGGAAAAGTTTCCCAGGTCCTTGAGACTATTTATCCACAAAAATAGGGAAAACACATTCTGCCCTAGCTCTGCCCTAGTAAATTGCCTTTACAGTGCTAGACAAATCACCAAAAATAATCCTGAGTTTCTTTTATTTGTTAAAATGAAAAGATGTCTGTTCCAAATATTAATAAAATATTAAACTTGCAATATGGTGGGAAGCACTGCTGAAAAACAGAGTAAAACTTACACTTTTATAAAAGGAGGAGAGAAATGTGAAGCTTACCCGAGCTTTTTCCTGTGGAGATCATAGATTTTATACAGAACCAGGAGTAAAGCAATCGAGGTCACAATGATCAAGAAGGTCAAGAATATAATCAGGGCCCTAGAATTGTCTAGTAACAGAAGAAGAATGTTTATTCAAGACATAGTTTACTTAATCAACAGCATGAGCATTTTACTTTTTTATCTCTTTATATTCCAGAACAAGGACTAACCAAATTTTAGTATTTTTGTGGAAAAAAAATTAAACAACTTTTAAACAACTTTTAAATGCCGAGCTTCAAGCATGAGCATTTTACTTTTTTATCTCTATATATCCCAGAACAAGTACTAACCAAATTTTAATATTTTTTGTGAAAAAAAGTTTAAACAACTTTTAAACAACATTTAAATGCCAAGCTTCATGATAAGAAGTCCTTTTTTTTTTTTTTTTTTTTTTTTAATTCACAGCAAGGGAAGCTCAGAGGTGCTGAGATCCAGCCCCGTCTGCTCCGCTGCAGGGATGGCTCATCCAGTAGTTATTTGCGCATTACAAGAAACAACATGAGATGTCTCGTGTGTCTGGGCACAGAAACCTAAACTAATCCTATATTAATCCTATCCATATTTCTTGCTTTGCTCGTAATCTTTTTAATCCCTTTCCTGCCAGCTCTTGTCAGTGCTACCAGGACATTTCAGTAATGTCAGGTATTTGATCTGATTTGAGGTATTTGATCAACTTCACAGTAAGTGAAGGATACCACAGTAAGGATCAAGGATACCAGATTTTAAATTGCAGATGAGCCATTAGCTATAAAAATGGAGGATTTCAAATTAGCAACAATTATAACAGAGTTTAAAATTTACACTGTTACTCTATACTGTATCATAGATGCTGAGAAAATTCTAACAGTAAAAGTGCTGGATGTGTTTACTTACATCTGGTTTTTATATGGCCACTTACAGCTTCTCCTTCAAAAAGTCCATTATGGACAAGGATCTGCAGCAGGTAAGAGCAATAGAGATGTTAAAATGTAACAAGTAAGTAATAATAAAAAGTTGGGCATTCAAAATAAATCTATTTTCAATGAATTAATCTGCCTGACTGCAGGGTCTGCTGGCAATATCTGTATAGCCATTTACAATGTAGTTTAGGTTTGATCTAGGTCTCAAAAATATGTACATGCCTGAATAAAAATATTAGTGAAATAGGAGACATGTCTTACAACACATTGTCTCAAATCCGGGAAAAAAAAAAGAGTCCTAAATGGAGTCAACTCCCACTAGTAACTCTGTTACTTTAACTTTTTTTAGAGGAACTATCAGGATGCAAAAATATTATTAATAAATAGCTGGCTGTCCCAAGGAGTTGACACAAGGCAGTGGCTTTGCAAACAACAAAAGTCAAAAGAATGAAATGTTCAAACAGAGGGAAAATATAGGAGGCATTCAGGAAAGGAAAAATCATAAACGAACCACTCAGAAGATGACGTATTTTATATGGAAACAAGGGCTGGCTTGAGAGAGGTTGATACAAGGACATGAGACATAGTCTGAACTGGTTTACGCTTATCAGTCCCCAAGCAACCAACTATTTTACAACTCAGATCTGCCACCATACTTTTACCATCATACCACCACCTTTACTCTAAAAACACGTACAATTCATGTAAACAATGAGTTTGTATCAATAGTTCATACATTTAATAAGCACACATACCTTAAATGAGTAGTTTGTCAAGTAAGAAAGATTTTCTTCTACAAAAAGACACTCATTCTCTTTGGTTTTGTTTTCACTACCCCAAACCAATACAAAAATTGTTTTTGGACCATACACGTCTTGATTTTGGCACTTAATTCGGACTGCGTTATCAGCTGTCAAGTTTACACGAAGCTCAGTCACTTTCTTTGGTTCTGTTCACAGAAGAAGTGTTAAAGATGTATTTTAATCATTTGAAGCTAAACATTTCAACAATGTGTTCATGTCTGTTTTTCACCCCTTTTCTTAAGATATTTCATAAAATTTAAATCCTAATTTAACCAGATGAATCAGATTGATCTCCAGTTAATCACTGGCTTGTCTTAACTGGAAAAACTGTAACAGGGAGCTGGAATGGCTGGGAATATCAGAGCTCTAGCAATGGTCAGGTTGCCAAGATGAATACAGCAGCAACCACCTCTCTCAAACCTTCTCATTTGAAAAATATAGGACAACAGATAAAGTATAGGAAAAGACAAAACTTTCTACCTAAGAGACTATATAATTTTCAAAATAGCTGTAAATGAAATTCCCTACCAAGGGAACATTTTCAAAAGCATCCTTTGGTTTCATATCCATTTGCTTCAAGGGTCATGTTGTTGTGTAACTGGCATGAAGCCAGGAAAACTTTTAACTAAAGACAGGAGAGGGGGAGGAAGAGATTATTCCTTGTGGCAGCTTGTTTGGAGAAAAAGAAAGAATATTTTACAAAATCACATCAAGGGGCAAATGTGCCACTGATACCACTCTCTTATTCAGGAAACCAGAGAGATTAGGAAATCTTGAGATATCTGTTTGAACATGTTAGCAGTTACTGTAACAGCTGGGGGATGTTTAATAAATACCACTGATTCACAAAGGCCGAAAATTTATTATTTCAAAAACAAACAAACAAAAAAGGGAACAGAGGTTAATTTTTAGACCTAAAAAGTTACACTGTACACTACAAATCCTACCTGAGGAACTAAAATACGAATGAAAGGCCAGAAAATGAGGGATTCTGTGAAAACCTGGTATTTAAACTGATTCTCCACCTAAATTAATGGGCTTGGGTTTTTTCCCTTGCTCTGAAAAAAAGCCAAGCGAGGACAATCTGGGATGGTATTTTATACTAGAGAAGCAACATAAATTACTCAAACTAGATGATCAGAGCGAAAAATCACATACATACCCAAATTAGGACTGTATAAAAGAATAAAATGTTTTCCACTTCAGGATAAAATGAAGTCTGTGCAAGGAGAGTATATAACAAATGGATAATATAATTTAATCTGTCAGATTTTTTTCCTGAGAGGTCCCAGGTGATAACTGTGATCAATGCATTCTTTCAATTATAAACTAAAATTTATTAGCTCAAAGACTGGGACTAATGGGGAGATCCCAATGTTCAAGAGAACTGGATAATCTATAAACTTTATACAAAGACTCCACATGTTCCACAGGAGGACAGGGTTCAAATCCAAAACAACACTCTGCCAGAAGGCCCTTGCAGGGCCCTGTATTTCCCAAATCTCTCCACAAATGGATTATATAGATAAAAGTTTCTTATATATCAACTTCTGTATATTTGTAGGAGCTCTAAACGATGAGGTGTTTAATATCAACAACAACAACACCACAACTTCTAAGTATCATAGTGTCATAGCCTCATTAGAGCAAGCAGATTATTCTTCTCCACCTCTCCTCAAAAAAAAAAAGGTTTTTTTTGCTCATTCAAAGCAGTTAAAGAAAATTTTAATCCAGAATCTCAGCGGGTATAATTTCCCTAATTTTCCACTGTAGTTTCTCTATAACTGAATCTTTATATCCATGGAGTCTGGAGATGGTGAAAATAGAGCCTAAATATATACTGGAAGAAATTAGAAAAAGAGAAACTTTTTCTTTTTTTTTGATCAAATAAAGAATGAAATCAGCAAGAGACCAAATCTGAGGATTAAAAAACAACATATATATATATATATATATACACACACACACACACACACACACACATATACATAAATAGGAAGGACTAATGGCCTAATATGTTTTTATCTGCATCATTTTGCATCCTTCTGCAACACTTGCATTTATTTCAGCTCTTCTAATAGGATTATCAATAGGATATGTACAGGGAAGAAGGAATGAGGATGGTGGTGGCAGCAGACGCTGCGCCCCAGATGCGAAGGGGCTGGTTGTGCTAATGCAAGCACAGCCACAGCCCCTGCTCCCACGTGGAGCCTCAGAAACCACCACTACTCAGGTACGTGCAAGCTAATCCAAACACGGATACAGGCACCAATCCTGCGAAACATGTTCTCTATAGAATGAAACGTTAAATATTTTTTAAAATCTTATCAAGAACTGAGAAGGAATTGGGAAAGCCTGTAAAAAAGTCAAGTACAGAAAGAAAGAATACAAATATTGAGTACGCAATTAAAAACACATTAAGATAAAATAGTTCAAAATGAAGAACTAATGCTAAGAAAGTTATTAAAATTATTTAACATTAATCAGTTAACCATTTAAATTAATAGTAATAAAATATAAAAATATAATGAATTAAAACAAGGAGGTATCTATTTCCTGCAGTCATCGTCTTGTCAGTAAAAGTAAACATGAGACTTACTTGTTGCGTTTGTCTTATATGTTTCATTTGCCACAGCTCCTGCAATTTTTTCTGGTCCGTATTTGCTCTTTTTATAGGCAGTGACTGACACGAAACCCGTATTAAAAGGATGTAATCCATTACAAGTAAACATATGTGCCATATTGTCTCTTTCCTCTAGAAAAAAAAAAAAAGAAAAGAAAACAGTACAGATTAAGATTTTATGTTAGGAGTACAAGAACTTCTACATTTTATCAGGGTTGTCTGAACTCAAGGTCACGAGTACTTGTAATTTAATTTCTGTGGATCATTGCCTCACTCCTGAATGTGAAGGGAGCACTTAGGGAGAGGGAGGACTATATTCCGCCCAAACAGGCAGAGGGTTCAGGGTTTTTTTGCATTGTTTCCTCCTTACTTTCTTTGTAGTATGTCATTAAAAAAGGATGCAACCAGAAATCAGAAACTAACATGACGTACACCTGTAATGAGAGTTTTATGAACCCCCTACAAACTTCTAACCTGCTAAAAACTAAAACATAATCAAATGTGAATAAAACATCTCAGGGAATATATGAACCGGCCAGAGGAATGTTTTCTGAGGCAGAATGCAGCATATGCAGAACTGATCAGGCAAATGACAATCTTGTCCTGACCTTTTCTCAAGTACATAACACTGACAGGTTGTGGAGAAATGTCCTGAAATGAAAAACTGAATGATCTGCGCAGCCAAACTGGAGCAACCTCAATGGAAAGAAACTTAAATAAACAAAAATAAATAAAACACTCCAGTGTTTTGACTGCATAGTTTTAGGAGATTCCAGTATGATTTGTCATTACATCATGCTTGGTGCTCTGTAAATACCGAAACAGGTGATGAATTATTCTCTCCCAAAGGGCTATGTACTTACCACAGCTGGTAGTGCTATTGCAGCACACGGAGTAGCCATCTATACTATCATCTGGTGACTCCCATTCGAGGGATACAGATCTGTCAGAAGAAGAAACTTGAAGAATTTTGGGTTTTTTTGGAGCTGTTGAAGAAAAAAAAATAGTTGAATGAGAATGAAAAATACTCCTATATTTGATTGCCTTTGACTAAAATCAAATTTCAGTGCACACCAATGCAAGATAACAACAGCATGCAATATTTGGTATATCATTTATATGCAAAGAAATTATGCATAAATAAAAGAGTATATGTATCAAAGTACAATAATTTTATAAATTTAATCAACGTAAAATATAAGTGAATGCAGCATTTTCAAATATGATAGTCCAACATTTCCAAATATAATATATTGTTCTGATTTCCTTAGAATGGAACAAACTTTGAATGTAATATGTGGCCCAAATTGCCTTTGCAGGCCACTTGGTATAGGCTGAATATCTTTTTTCTTCTTTTTTTTTTTCTTTCTTAATTCAGCAGAAATACCTAAGCCATGTCCAAGGACAATGCTAAGGAAAACCATATTATTTTATCTCAAGACAATCTTTGTAACTGTTCCATCCCACTTGCCTTCAGGAGCAAGAATCTAACATTTGACCAGCCTTGGGATGCGGATGTGGGAGCATTTGCCTGGGAGCCTGAGACTGGGATTCGAGAGGGAAAGCAAAGCTGTGGCCATAGTCAAGGAAGAGCCATAGGGAAGGGGGAAAGGACAGCAGGAGCTGGAGGACAACGCAAGGCCAGTTGAGCAAAGGTCCTCCAAAGGTATTGCCACCCCCAGAAACACAGGCACGGGGGTTCATGACGGGCCTTTGCACAACCCAGTGAAAGAGGAAACAAAACTGCAGGTTATACTTACGACCGAAATCTGTTTCTATGGTGGTGTTTTCATGTATACATTGCTCCCCCCAACACTGTACTGTAAAACTGCAGCTGTAGCTGTGGTTGGGCGACAATTCTGTCAGACTTACACAAGGCGAGTGCGAGTCTGAGATGACTTGAGGTTTATTTAAATGGCTTGGACCTACACACAAACAAAGGAAAGGTTTTATCAATATTTTTTCTCAATTCAAAAAATACACGGTCCCATATTAGCTGGGACTTTCAGAAACAGCCTGATGGATTACTGTCCACTCAGCAGGTAACCAGACCAACACTATATAACCTGAAAACACTTTAGCAGTTGGCATTCCGAATCTATTCCTTTCATCTTGCTACATACTATTAGAAAAACATAAGATTTGCATTTAAAATAGCCAGGAAGAGAGGATCAGATCATATTAAATCTATGCTTAGAGACCACTATGACTTAGGTACAAATATATCTTCTTCCCACACAGGTTTAATGAGAGTGGAATGAGCTCTCTGCAAAGGCTGGCAAGTCATGAAAAGAAATAAATGTCTGTGATTCATAGCAAATCAAATTCCAAGAAAACCAAGATACAAAGGCCATACCTTCTGTTTCTCTTGAAAAGTCCACCTAGATGATACGAATAACAATTTGAATTTCAAAGGCCACACAGATGTCTAGCATTTATTTCATTAACTGAACTAACAGTGATTAAATGTGAAGGTATTAAATCACTACCTATTGGTGATTAGGTTCTAGGTTCACATATTTTCACTGAATCTTCTCGGATATTTACTTTTCATCAGTAACATATATAGGAGAAATCTGTAATTCCCAGGAACATGTGCCACAGAAGTCATCAGAAAAATTTAACAATGCAGATTTTAATTTTCAAGAAAACAGTGCTTTCCCACAGAAATCGAAAGGTTTCATGGGAGTCTGATAAAAATCTGCATATAGCGCAGATTTCAATCTTCAGTGCCTGAAAAATGGAATCTCCAGCCCAGGATGTTTATCACGCAGTTCTCCAGGACACACAAGGACCTCTGAACTCCGAGTCTTCCCTGCCACCTCAAAAATCTCCATATGCCTAAAATATGTAAAGCTGGTAAATTCAGAGAAGGAGCTTTCTGGACTTGAACTTTACCCAGATCTTCTGTAGCACCTAAGAGTGGCTGTCCTGAACCTAGGAACCCTGAAAATGTTAAACAGTTCTTGTTGCAGGTTGGCATCATCATTAAAACTGACAGTTGCTCATCAAGAGAAAATACGAAAACAAACAAAAAAAACAACCAACCAACCTTCAATTTTTAAAATATCTTAAAAGCATCTTACCCTTATCACAGATGACAGAGTGGTTCACAGGACACTTTGGTAGGTTGGTCCAGCACATCTTTGCAAAATCGCCTTTTATTTCCCATCTGTTTAAAGAATATTTTGTTCCATCTAAAAAGGATCAATATTATATGTCATGATGACATTAGCTGTATTGATTCTTTAAGTGTCAGTTTTATCTTTTTTATTGTTCATTTGCCTGTAATATGAATACACACTTTTCACAATATAAGCATTTCCAAGCACAATTTGGATCTCGGGAAAACTGAAGCCTGAAAACTGCGGGTAAGGATGGGAAGTCACTTCAATGGATTACCCTCCTAAAAGGGACTTCAACATTAAATAATATCTGTAATCTGTCAAATGGCAGCAAAACTGGAATTACAACAGATTACTGACAAAGTACAACAAAATTTAACATAAGAAAATCTGCATTAAAAACAACAATAGCAAAGTCCTTCTATACCTACCAGGTGGGATACTGAAAGTCTCTGGCGGACAGTTAGCTTGTAGGACTCTGTATTCCTGGCATCTTGGAAGCGTCAGGTTATAGCTGTCATTGCTTGTGAACCTTTGGTTCAAGATAGTATATTCTTTATTTGTTTTGAGATTGTACAGGGTGATGTCAACAGAGTCACAATCATCTGTGCAGTTAAGTACTCTGTGATGAATACGAGCTAAGAAAAAGGGAGATAAAAGTACACAATTGATTTCAGATTTTTTTTTTAAAGTACTGTGTGTTATAGCACCTCAAACACTATCTGTGTTTTGAGAATCAGAAAATACAGCAGATTTGGATGATTTTTCATGGGTTTTATTCCTTTTTTTGCTAAAATAATTATTTATTTGAAAAAAAAGTCAAAATTGAATTTTTCCTTAGGAAAATACTCTTTTAAATAATTCTCTTAATAATTCTCTGATTATCCTAATAAGTTAACATTCCAGAACTGTATTTGTTTTTATGTATAACATCAATTTAAAATTAAATATTTCACTTTGACACATTGAATCATTTGTTTGAACAAAAAAGCACAATTTTCTCTTTCAAAGCATTTCAGAGCTTTTTAAACCATCTCGTAGATAACAGCTGTAGTCTATTCCTTCAAATTATAAAGGAGAGAGCTCTCTAATTTTGAAGAAAGGTAAACCAGCACCTAAACCTTGCATTCACATTACTTATGAATTAGTTTGTAGCATCAGGGAAAAAAAATAGGGAAGGCGTAGCTGAATAAAAGCAGAAGAGAGCATTTAGCAGAGCTGAGAACAGAGATGAGAACACCAGAAATGTGTGTGAACACCAGAAATGTGACTTTAATAACACTTTCTGACTTAAAAGACAGTTTGCAAAATGATCTGGGGCTCCAGTTAGTTTTCTCTAATGCAATTTGTCAATTGGAGTTTACTGATTTGGTCAACTAGCAGAACCGAGGGAAAAATAAGGGTTTGGCTCTTACGACAAGGCTCCTCAGTTGTCGCTGTGGTGGGTGCTGTAAGAAAAGAAAACAAAATTAATACTGCCCCTATATATTTTTTTCCCCACACAGCATGAGAGCAGGATGACAGATCCTGTTCAAAATGCTTTTTCAGTCATTTGATACAAGTAATAGTATTTATTCATACGTGAACACATGGAAGAAAATGCCACCTAGCTAACTACAACCCTAGCTTTCCTTCTCGAGACCGTGAGCACTGCATCTCAGCATTTTTCATCGACATTACTGCCTCCATATCGCGTGCGTTATTTATGACATTTCTTGCACACTTCTGCATAAGAAAAGCATGGGTATATTCCCAAACCATGCATTTTCCCAGAGGTGTGACAGTTGCCCGGCTTCCCATGGTACTGGTGCTGTGGCAGGGCCAACCAAATCGTTTTCCCTGTCACTAAAGGGACCAAACTGACCTGCTTTGTGCACTGTTCATTCTACCTCTGCAGGCAGCGTTAGGCAACAACCCACAGCACTTGGCACCTGCCTCTTAAGCATCGGAAGCGAAGAGCCCTGCCAAGAGGGCGACCCGCGTCGCTCCCCGCAGCACGAGCGCGAGGCCAACACGGCCCGCGATGCCAGAGCTGCTCCTGCTGCGCAAAGCGACGTGCGAGCAATGTGGAAACGGGCCACGCGCGCGGGCCTCACCACGCTTCTCCTGCTGCTGCTTGGGCAAACTTCTCCGGTACCCCAGGGAGGCCTGGAAAAGCTGCTTGACAGATCTGCGCTCCCGCTGTGCCACTGCCTAGCAAATCACCTCTGCTCTTCACTTGCTTGACAAGCAGCGAATCCTTTGTGTTTTTTACACCATTCATACACTACTAATAAGGTTCCTAAAACCCCTAAAGTTCAAGGCAGCTGCATGCCTAATTTGTATGCCTGAAGTTTGCAAAGAAAAAAAAAATGAAAGAGCTTTAGTGCCCTCATTCTGAAAGATTTCCTGTGCTTGCAGTATCATAATTGCGATAACTGTGTGCAAGTTTGTCACCTATGGTGTGATTGGGGCTGATCCCAGTGTTTGCTGGCATGCTGGTTGGTGAGGTGGTGCTGTGCAAGGATTTGGGGCTGTAATCATCTGCAAGGAAATAAACAACACATCACATCAGCAGCGAAGAGTAAAAACCAGTATTTCATATCATTAGGTCATCAGAAATATCTCACTCCACAGTCCATCCTCCCCCTTTTTTCTCTACAGGACATTTTTTCAAGCTGGAGAAGAGTGCTGAAGGTGAGATTATGCTAATGTGCCCAGCAACACAGAAAACAAGTATTTAACTAGAAGCAAACTTTTAAGAATGCAGTGCCTACTAAGGAGTCTTTCAATGTAACGGGACAGACATTTTTTTCTTACACTGTTTAGGCATAATCCATGAGGGAGTCAGCATAAAAAATTCCTTAATAAGTGTGAAATAGGAGAATCTATAGTATTTGGCAACACGCCTGTGCAACGTGGCAGCTGCGACGGGCGCTGGCCTCTCCGCGGGCAGAGCGCACAGGTTGCTCCCCGGCTCCCTTGCCATCACTCACTGCCTCTCTCGGGAAGCCACTGCCTGGTTTTAGGTCCTTTCCTGCGGTTCTTGTTTTGGCCACTGCTGCCAACAACTACCAGACTTGGCCATCAGACCCGCTGGCCCAGCTTTGATCCTGTTGCTACACTGAACAGCAGGTACGTTTGCTGAACTAGACAAAGGAGAAAATTAAATGGAGTTTTCAATAACTGTTCCCTCAGCAGATACATAATCGATGCCTGTGACGTCCCTTCAGAGACGGGCATAAAAATTTGCCTGGGTAATTAGTGAAGAAGCTTCCTCAACATCCCTCAACATGTTCTTGGTAAGTAGAAAAGCTAAAGGAAAAAGATCTGTGTTTCCTGCT